ATATATATATATATATATATACTGTATATACAGAAGTGAGTACACCCCTCACATTTTTTGTAAATTTTTTTCATGTATTATATTTTTTCATGTGACAACACTGAAGAAATGACACTTTGCTACAATGTAAAGTAGTGGAACAGTGTACAGCTTGTATAACAGTGTACCTTTGCTGTCCCCTCAAAATAACTCAACACACAGCCATTAATGAGGCGATGTGGAATAGGGAGCATACAGTATTGTACACAGAATGATGCATGTGGAACAGGGAAGGCACAATATTGTACACAGAATGAGGCGGTGTGGAATAGGGAGCGTACAGTATTGTACACAGAATGATGCGGTGTGGAATAGGGAGGCGGTGTGGAATACAGTATTGTACACAGAATGATGCGGTGTGGAATAGGGAGCATACAGTATTGTACACAGAATGAGGCGGTGTGGAATAGGGAGCGTACAGTATTGTACACAGAATGAGGGAATACGGGAGCATACAGTATTGTACACAGAATGATGCATGTGGAATAGGGAGTGTACAGTATTGTACAGAGAATGAGGCGGTGTGGAACAGGGAGCGTACAGTATTGTACACAGAATGATGCATGTGGAATAGGGAGCGTACAGTATTGTACACAGAATGAAGCGGTGTGGAATACAGAGCGTACAGTATTGTACACAGAATGAGGTGGTGTGGAATACAGAGCATACAGTATTGTACACAGAATGAGGTGGTGTGGAATACGGAGCGTACAGTATTGTACACAGAATGATGTATGTGGAATAGGGAGCGTACAGTATGGTACACAGAATGAGGTGGTGCCAAAAGCACCAAAACCTGGTTCAATGACCGTGGGATTACTGTGCTTGATTGGCCAGCAAACTCGCCTGACCTGAACCCCATAGAGAATCTATAGGACATTGCCAAGAGAAAGATGAGAGACAAGAGACCGAACAATGCAGAAGAGCTGAAGGCCGCTATTGAAGCATCCTGGTTTTCCATAACACCTCAGCAGTGCCACAGGCTGATAGCTTCCATGCCACACCGCATTGAGGCAGTAATTGCTGCAAAAGGGGCCCAAACCAAGTACTGAGTACATATGCATGCTTATACTTTTCAGAGGTCCGATATTGTTCTATGTACAATCCTTGTTTTATTGATTGCATGTAATATTCTCATTTTCTGAGATTGTGGATTTGGGGTTTTCATGAGCTGTAAGCCATAATCATCACAATTATGACAAATCACGGCTTGAACTATCTTGCTTTGCATGTAATGAGTCTATCTCATATATTATTTTCAGCTTTTAAGTTGCATTACTGAAATAAATGAACTTTTGCACGATATTCTAATTTTTCGAGTTTCACCTGTATATGCATTCTGGCATGCAGTGCGATTTAAAGGCCAGTGCAGTGTGATTTCATTCATGCGGTGCATGTGCAATTTTGATGCGAATTGTTAAAGTGTATCAGATTGGAAATCACAATGCAAATCGTACAGACCCTTTTTTAAAATTGCACTGCAGCCGGCTCACATATATGTGAACAGAATGCACAGAAAAGTGTCTCATTTCACATGCCATGTGAATCGGTGCAGTTCAAAATGCATCCAAATTTGCATATATGTGAGCCGAAGCTTCCTCTGCTGGGATCTACATTAGATGATGTTATCAGTCAGAGCCCTGGAAAGGACATGGGTAGCATAAGGGTTCCTTTGCCCTAGTTCTTTGTGACAGCTGTGCCTGCTGTACTGTCTGTCACAGTGAATCCCCACTGACCATTGGTCTGAAAGGGACATATCTTAAATGGGGGGGGGGGCAAACACTGCCCCTGTTCCCTCCAAAAAGTCCTGTCTTTATCATAGCATAGGAGATACAAATGAAGAAGCAGTCAGAGTTCTGGCACTTCCAGCTCTTCGTTACAAACATCCGAACAGATATTAACCACTTTCCCGCTGCCCTATAGCAGAAATACTTCTACAGGGTGGCAGGGCTGCACAAAATCACATATAAAATCACTCATTTCTTGGTAGGGGCGCACGCCCCATACCCGTGCTGCCATTGACGACCTAAGCAATCGATCACCGGGTCCCAGCCACTGATTCCCCGTCGGCATCCGGCGATCGCTGAGTATCACTGATGGGGGAGAGGTCTCTAGGTAAACAATACAGATCTCTCCCCTGTCAGCTGCAGCACACTGCTTTGTATTGCTCTGCATAACAGAGCAATACAAAGCAGCTTGCTTACACAGTAAAACACAGTGCGCAGTAAAACACACACACAGCACACTATTAACTCTTTGATCGCCCCAGATGTTAACCCCTTCCTGCCCAGTGCCATTAGTATAGTGTCAGTGCTTTTTATTAGCACTGATCACTGTATTAGTGTCACTGGGGATGTCAGTGCCAGTTATTCAGTTCCCCCCCCAGTGTCAGAATGCCCGCTGCAGTTCTGCTATAAGTTGCTGATCGCCGCCATTACTGGTATAAAAACAAAAAAAATCCAGTATATATACCGCCATTTGTAAACGCTATAACTTTCACATAAACCAATTAATTTACACGTATTGGAATTTTTTTTTACCAAAGTCATGTAACAGAATATAAAAACAACACCTCCTGCGCTCTATGGCCCAGAGCAAGGGTGGATAGATGGACACGGAACTTGAAAAAATTCACCACCAATACATCGAAGATTAAACAAGACTGGGGAAGCCCAACCAATACTGTAAAGCGAAACAAAAAGAAAGCGCACCAACCTTGCGCATTACCTCAGTAAAATGTGATTTTATTGAATTTAAAAAATACTCACAAACAGAGAAGTATAACAAGCGTGTAAAGTCCTTAGCGAGACTTAAGGAGTCTGAGACCAGTGCAAGTCTTATCATGAGGGAAGACTCCCAAAGTCATGTTGACGCGTTTCGAAGGGAGTCCCTTCTTCATCAGATCTGACTAGACAATGAGGCACCAAGGTGACACCTTTGCCCCTCCTCCTTTCCCGGGACTGCCCAACCCAGGTGGGAGGGTCCAACTTCAGGGAATATACAGAAGAGGGCTCTCATTGTCTAGTCAGCTCTGATGAAGAAGGGACTCCCTTTGAAACGCGTCAGCCTGTCTTTGGGAATCTTCCCTCATGAAAAGACTCGCGCTGGTCTCATGATCCTTGAATCTCGCTAAGGACTTTGCACGCCTGTCATACTTCTCTGTTTATGAGTATATTTTAAATTCAACAAAATCACATTTTACTGAGGTAATGCGCAATGTAGCAGAATATATTTTGTCCTAAATTTATGACAAAATTTAATTTTCAAAATTTTTTAACTGGACATGTTTAAAAGCAAAAAGTCAAAAATGTTGTTTTTTCTCAGAATTGTCAGTCTTTTTTCGTTTAAAGCACAAAAAATAACAAACACACAGGTGATCAAATACCACCAAAAGAAAGCTCAATTTGTGGAAAAAAGGGACATAAATTTCATTTGGGTGCAGCGTTGCATGACCGCGCAATTGTCAGTTAAAGTAACGCAGCGCCGTAACGCAAAAAACAGCCTGGTCAGCAAGAGGGGTAAATCCTCTGGAGGGCAAGTGGTTAAAGAGCGGAGTGAGAGTTTTTTATTCCAAAGGCCACTGGAAATTGCTCTGGGCTATAAGATCAAGGGTATGGGCGCGGAAAGTTTTCTGACAGACTACTCATTGTTATATTAATGCTGAAGAACAGAAGATTCCTTTTACAAGTCCAGAAAACTCCATTCATGGCATGTGGGCAAGACACTGTCACTGCCAAACTGTTTGCACATAAAGGCATTATACATATATATCATTCCTCAGACATGATATTCAAGTACATAGCTTTAATATGGCAAAACAGAGACAAATCCCCATTGCTCAATAGCTAAGTAATGCAAAGTGCAATGCATCATTATTTCCTCTATTAAAAGTCTTTTCAATATTTTATGGGATATACGGAAAAAAGACATCAGCTTGAGCTGAGCATGTGCTCAGAGCAGCCATATTTGGCCATTACCTGCTGGTTATGTGTTCTGATTTGTAATACATGGTGCTTTACTTTAATTCTCTTCCCAATGCAAGCCCAGGGGGTCTATTTATATCTCCAAAAAATATCCGTCATGTGTCTATGGCCTCTTGCACATAGTACTGATGCTTGAGCATCTGCTTCTTTTGGACATAATTTCAGGCGTTTGTTTTGCACGTATATGCAAGCTTGCGCATTTGTGCACACAATATATTCTTAGGAAAAATGTATTCATATTTATGCTCATATGTGTGTATTTGCGTGCATGAGACATAAATTACTGACCAAAAATGCAGATTTTCCTAATTTTTTTTTTTTTACTGAGCAATATGCTGCGCTTATTTACGCGCCTGTGTGCAAAGGCACATTGTAAATAGTGGGCTACATTTTACCTCAGTAAAAATAAAAACGCTGTACTGAGTTTCGTCAAGCTGCAGTGTGCAAGAAGCCTATTATGTGTATTTCCTATTGTTATCAGCTCCATCTAGTGGCCACAATGTGGAGTTTTCCTGATTGTGATATTTCAGGAAAATACCACATTATGGCCACTTGATAGAGCTGACAATCTTAGGAAATACACATATTAAACACATTATGGTGATTATTTGCAACAGCTGTGCAATGTTATTTATACATGGACTTCTATAAGTCGACTGAGTTGCCCTCCAGAGGATTTACCCCCCTTCCTGACCAGGCCATTTTTTGCCTGACAGTTGTGCGGTCATGCACTGCTGCACACAAATGAAATGTTTGTCCTTTTTTCCCACAAATGGCGCTTTCTTTTGGTGGTATTTGATCGCCTCTGCGTTTTTTATTTTTTGAACTATAAACAAAAAAAGACTGACAATTTAAAAAAAAACAACTATATTTTTGACTTTTTTTGCTATTAAACATGTCCAGTAAAAAAATAGCATTTAATGGTGGTATATACACTGAAATTTAAAAAAAATACATTTTACTAGTAATGGCGGGGATCAGCGACTTATAGCGGTTTGCAGTGGGCATTCTGACAAAGGAGGGAACTGACTTGGTGTCATTGACATCCCCAGTGACACCAATACAGTGATCAGTGCTAATATAAAGCACTGTTCCTGTACTAATGGCACTGGGCAGGAAGGGGTTAACATCTGGGGTGATCAAATGGTTAACTGTGTGCTGTGTGTGTTTTACTATGAGGCTGTGTGTGTGCTTTCTACTGTAAGCACACTGCCTTTTATGGCTCCGCTATGCAGAGCCATACAAAGCAGTGTGCAGGAGTTGGCAAGGGAGAAAACTGTATTGTTTACATACAGGTCTCTCCCCCGTTGGTAATACTCGGTAATCACCAGGTGAGGGCAAGTAATCACCAGCTGGAACCCGGCGATTGACAGCCGAGGCCATTTATGGTGACACAGGTAGTGTGTGTGTGGCTTGCGTGCGACCCCTACTCGAAAATGCTAAATCATGTATATACACGTGATTTTGTGCACCCTTGCCACCCTGTAGCAGTATTTCTGCTATAGGGCTATGAGAAAGCGGTTAAAAACAATGTATTTCTGTGTGGCTAAAATCTTATCTCTACAACTGTTTATTATTATTACATCGAGTTTATATAGCGCCAAAGGGTTTGCTCAACACTGTACAATAGAGGGGGGGGGGGGGGGGGGGGGGGGGGGACAATACATGAAACAGTACAGCAACAACAAACAGCACACAAGGGGTTAGAGGGCTTTATTATTTATTTATTTCAGGTACTTATATAGTGCTGCCAATTTACACAGCACTTTACATATATATTGTACATTCACATCAGTCCCTAACCCTCAAGGGGTGTACAATATAAGGTCCCTAACTTACATTCATACATACACATACTATGGCCAATTTAGACAGGATCCAATTTACCTACCAGCATGTCTTTGGAGAGTGGGAGGAAACCAGAGTACCCAGAGAAAACCCATGCAGGCACAGGGAGAACATGCAAACTCCAGGCAGGTGGTGCTGTGGTTGGGATGTGAACCGTTGATCCTAGTACTGCCAGGCAGAAGTGCTAACCATTTAGCTACTGTGCAGCAGCTAGGTAGTCATAAGGGCTGATTCACACTGCTGCACTTAAACTGACGTTTTGGGGATTTTTGGCTAAAGACCATGAACAAACCTCAAGAAAAGCCTATGGGGGATATTTAATAAAACTGGTGCACTCAGAATCTGCTGCAGTTGTGCATGGTAGCCAATCGGCTTCTAACTTCAGCTTGTTGAGTTAAGCTTTGGCAATAAAACCTGGAAGCTGATTGGTTTCTATGCAGAGCTGCACCAGATTTTGCACCCTCCAATGTAATAAATAACCCCCATTGTGTCCATGCCCACATGGGCTTTTACCAGAGTAGCGGTGTTTAGATACAGTAAAATGGTCCTCTCCTGACCGCAGAAGAATTGTTCTGGAGAGGAGAGATTTGGCAGAAAAGTGTTTGACGCGGCAAAAACGCGTGTAAACGCGCATTAATGTTAAGCACGTTTGACGTTTGATCATTAGTTCATTTCATTGTCCAGAATAAATGATTATACTAACCAATGAAATGAATTAATACCCAAGCACATGAAGCAGCTTAATTCATTACACATGTTTTCCTGCTGCCAGGATAAAGATGTTGAGAGAATTCAGGCTTCAGAGCGTCCAGTGTACATGAGGTCTTACTAATCTACCCTGCCCTGCCAGAGACAGGGTTAATTATGTTAAACATTACTCTACAGCCCCTTCCTAAACAAAGCAGGGGGAGCTTCTAAGGATTTTTAAAGTGTTACTAAACCCACAACAGTAAAATCGGTCTGTATATGCAGTAAAGCATGCTTAGCGCTGCACCCCCATTTTACATTACTATTTTTTTGGGTTTACCTTTGTGCATTAGCTGCTTTCATTATATTTTAGTGCTCTCACTATCTTTATACTTATATGCTTGTTATACTCACTATGTTACCTAAGGGGTTAATCCTCTGCACTGTGTAAAAAAGGCTGTTTGATCTGGTCTTCTTTGATACTCCCCTTCTTCTACTGTCCCCAATATATCTTCTGAGAGAACAGAGCCTTGGGGGCAAGCTGCACATGGTTAGTTTGGTGTGTATTGCTAGAGAGTTTTTTTTTCTTGGGAGAGTGCATGTGATCAGCACAGGGCCAATCAGCACTGTCCAGACAGAGGTCAGGGGTTTTGCATCCTCATAGAGCAGAAAGAAAACTCCTCCTACAAGCTTTAACCAGTGCTCTGCTGAACACAGATAGAAGTCACAAGACTGCTCTAACTGCTGATGAGAAAAGGTATTTAGCAGTTTATATTTACTAAAATAATTGCATTTCCATGTTGTGTGTACTGTGGGAGATCAGATATAGGGAATGCAGGGTAATGGGTATAGTAACACCTTTAAACAATTAAAAACACTTAAAAAGGTAACCAGCAAGGTTTATATGTTTTTTTTTTACATTATGTTGTGTTAATGGGAACATGTAGCATGTAAAAAATTGTGTTTGGCTGCAAAAGTGGAAATACACTTTAAAGTGGAGTTCCAGTGGTTTTTGTGTTTATTTAAAGTCAGCAGCTACAAAAACTATAGCTGCTGACTTTTAATAAACACACCCTTACCTGTTGCAGGATCCAGCAATGTTCTCACCCTTACCGTCCCTTCTCTCCTTCTCTCCTCCATCTCAACTGTGGGCACCAGACTGTGACAGCTTGCAGCTTCATAGCCTGGTGCCCACTGTGCATGTGCGAAACCTGCATTTGCGGGACCTGTGAAAGTTCGCATGAGACTGCAGGAGGGAGCCGAACTTCCAACTCACTTCACCGCAGCAAATTGAGCCAGAAGTGGGAGCGGGTACCTGTCAAAAACAGATGACCGCTCCCCTCCAAAAGGTGCCAAATATGGCAGTGGAGGGGGAGGCAAATAAGCGGAGCTTGCACTTTAAGGTAAAAGGGCAGCACAGTGGCTAAATGGTTAGCACTTCCGCCTGCCAGTACTAGGGTCGTTGGTTCGAATCCCAGCCACGGCACCTCCTGCCTGGAGTTTACATGTTCTCCCTGTGCCTGCGTGGGTTTCCTCCAACACTCAAAAGACATGCTGGTAGGTTAATTGGATCCTGTCTAAATTGGCCCTTGTATATGAATGTGAGTTAGCGACCTTAGATTGTACACCCCTTGAGGGTTAGGGACTGATATGAATGTACAATATATATATATGTAAAGCGCTGCGTTTGCAGGGCATTAATGCCATTAACTTCATTATAGGCGTCTGTGGTGTGTTTTTAACGCCTTGAAAATGCCTATCAAATGCCTCAAAAAACATATATAGGGCGTTTGAGAAGCGTTAAAAACACCCCTATAGCGTTTGACAAGTGTTTTTATTATATTATACAGGATTTATATAGCGCCAATAGTTTGCTCAGCGCTTTACAATATAAAGGGAGACAATACAGCAACAATACAGTTCAATACAAGAGGGATAGGAGGGCCCTGATCCTTAGAGCTTACCATCTAGGAGACAGGCATTTGGGAAGAGTTAGAACTTAGTCAAGTGTGAACAAGCCCTTTCTACAAGTAATGATGAGCCTCTGCACTGCTGATCTGGAAAATATATAATAATATAACACAATAAAAGCAAAATCGCCTTGTATAATTTCACATTTTTCTAGAAAAAAAAAAAAGTAAGCTGCTAAGTAAATAGAAGAGAATCAATATTTTAATTTGTGGAAAGGGCAGAGAATCCTTGTTTTTCTTATTACTAAGTGCAGTGTACCACAACAAACCTTTCAGCAGCTGCTGCTCCTGCGGGCTACAGACCATCTGTGTGTCCAGTAAAGCATGCTCTATTCGCATTTCCCCCTTAGCAAGTGCAATTTGCAAGACTAGCAGGACATTTGGCTTCTCTACACTGCACAAACAGGATTTTTAACTTTTTATTTGCTACATCTAGAATAAAATGCCTGTTAACAAGAAAGGAGCATAAGGACACGGAGCAGTTCATTGATTGGCTATAGTAACATGTTTCTGCCAAGTCTATCAGCGTCCAGATTAATGTAACAATGTAATGCTTCATTCATTATGGAGACAGCGATTTTATGAATAATAGTCTGCAGTGTGTAGAGATCCTGCAATTTTCTACTCTAAAGATGGGACTTGAGGCAAACAGTTTAAAGCGGTATTAAACAGTCCAACTCCTCCAGGATGGCGCATCAATGCGTGCCATTGCCAGAAGGTATGCTTTGTCTCCCAGCACAGTCTCAAGAGCATGGAGGAGATTCCAGGAGACAGGCAGTTACTCTAGGAGAGCTGGACAGGGCCGTAGAAGGTCTTTAACCCATCAGCAGGACTGGTATCTGCTCCTTTATGCAAGGAGAAACAGGATGAGCACTGTCAGAGCCCTACAAAATGACATCCAGCAGGCCACTAGTGTGAATGTCTGACCAAACAATCAGAAACAGACTTCATGAGGGTGGCCTGAGGGCCCGACATCCTTTAGTGGACCCTGTGCTCACTGCCCGGCACCATAGAGCTCAATTGGTATTTGCCATTGAACACCAGAATTGGCAGGTCCACCACTGGTGCCCTGTGCTTTTCACAGATGAGAGCAGGTTCACCCTGAGCATATGTGACAGATGTGAAAGGGTCCGGAGAAGCCGTGGAGAACGTTATGCTGCCTGTAACATCGTTCAGCATGACCGTTTTGGTGGTGGGTCAGTGATGGTCTGGAAAGGCATATCCATGGAGAGACACACGGACCTCTACAGGCTAGACAATGGCACGCTGACTGCCATTAGGTATCGGGATGAAATCCTTGTCAGAACCTACGTTGGTGCAGTGGGTCCTGGGTTCCTCCTGGTTATTTTTATGGATAGTGGACCCAAACAGAGAGTTCTGTGTATCTGCAAAGGCATGGTGAATTCTCACCTCTACTTACCTTGCCATGACATACAGCCTCATTGTAGATTACAACTTTAACGGTGATGCTTATTTGCATTTTTGCATGTCGTATATTTACTTGTATATTAGCAGAATAATAGAATGTTTTAACAAGTGCTAAATGGTATGAACATTTTAAAGAACATGATCTAGGATAAGGGTGCACAACCTTTTGAAGAGAGAGGGCCACTTAGGTATTTGGTAACTGGTCGAGGGCCACAATGAAATGAAATGGTTCAAAATTTAAATTTTTTTATTTTGAATAGCATAATCAACATTTTCCTTCTGTAGCCATTGAATGCCAGCAGGAGGGAGAGGAGAAGCCATCTTTCAGTGGTTGCAGGAGAAAAAAGGATAGGATTGGTTCCTATATATGCTGCCCCTCCTTTCCAAATGTAAAACAGAATGTGAAAGGGAGGCCACAGAGGTCTCTGATGCTATGCCAGTGGTTGGGGGTATGT